GTCATCAGAGAAATACCAATCAAAACTAAATTGAGGTACCATTTCAAGCCAATTAGAATGGCAATCATTAAAAAATCTGGAGACAACAGATGCTGGAGAGGATGTGGAGAAATAGGAACACTTTTACACTGTTGATGGGAGTGTAAATTAGTTCAACCATTGTGGAAGACAGTGTGGCAATTCCTCAAGGACCTAGAGACAGTAATTCCATTTGACCTAGCAATCCCATTACTGGGTATATATCCAAAGGATTATAAATTGTTATACTATAAGGACACATGCACACGAATGTTCACTGCAGCACTGTTTACAATAGCAAAGACTTGGAACCAACCCAGATGCCCATCGATGACAGACTGAACAGGGAAAATGTGGCACATGTACACCATGGAATACTATGCAGCCATAAAAAACGATGAGTTTGTGTCCTTTGTAGGGACATGGATGAACCTGGAAGCCATCATTCTCAGCAAACTGACATAGGAACAGAAAATCAAACATCACATGTTCCCACACATAGGCGGGTGTTGAACAATGAGAACACATGGACACGGTGGGGGTGAGCATCACACACTAGGGTCTGTGGGTGGGGGGAATAGGAGAGCGATAGCAGGGAGTGGGGAGTTGAGGAGGGATAACATGGGGAGAGATGCCAGATATAGGTGATGGGGAGGAAGGCGGCAAACCACACTGCCATGTGTGTGCCTATGCAACAATCTTACATGTTCTTCACATGTACCCCAAAACCTAAAATGCAATAAAAAAAATCTAGGAAAAGAAAATATTGCCAAAAGAGTGGTGGTATAGCGGGTTTCCTTAGGAACTGCTAACATTATTAAGATACATAAATTAACATTCATAAAAGCAAAGTAAGTCATACAGGGATCAATAATGAGAATATCTCATGAACCAAGGATTAACATTTAATCGAATTTTATGCAACTGGAGCCCACCAAAAATAAAACCAAAAACGTTATCGCCCCTTTTCAAAATTTGTCAGTGGCTCTCCATGACATTACCCCTCTCATGGGCTTTAAGCTGTGAGATCAAGCTATAATACAAGAAAGGTGGGAAGGAATGGAGGGAGTAAGTAAGGGGAGGAAGGGAAGAAAAAAGAAAGGAAGAAACTACAGCATTTTTTTTTTTTTTTAACTTTTAGGTTCAGGGGCACAGGTACGGGTTTATTACATGGGTAAACTTGTGTCATGGGGCTTTGTTGTACAGATTACTTCGTCACCCAGGTACTAAGTCTAGTATCCAACAGTTATTTTTTCTGATCCTCTCCTTTTTAACGACCTGCCACCCTCAAGTAGGTCATAGTGTGTGCTGTTCCCCAATGAGTGATTCTTAAGCTAAGTCCAGCTCATCTGGCAGTGACCATTCTGGAAGTTAGGATCAAAAACAACGGCCCTGCCATCTCCCTCAACACTTCCTTCCTTCTTCCTTCTTTTGGAAAACCCTAACTTTCACTATCCAACATGGCAGCTGCTGGCCACATGAGGCTACTTACTGAAAATGTAATAAAATGCAAGTTCAGTTCCTGAGTTACGTTAGCCACACATCAGGCACCCAAGAGGTATGAGTGGCTGCTGTATCAGACAACACAGATGCAGAATATTCCATCCTCTTGGGAAGCTCTATAGCAAGCTTGTCCAACCCGTGGCCCATGGGCTGCACGTGGCCTAGGATGGCTTTGAATGAGTTTACAACACAAATTTGTAAACTCTCTTAAAACACTAGGAGATTTTTCAGTAAATTTTTAGCTCATCAGCTGTCATTAGCGTCCGTGTATTTCATGTGTGGCCTCAGACAATTCTTCTTCTAATGTGGCTCAGGGAATCTAAAAGATAGGATGCCCCCAAACCTGCAATAACTTTTGCACCAAGATAATGCCTTAAACCCATCTCAGCTGAAAAGAAGAGGCACATCTGTGTGTACACGAAAGAAGGGGCAGGACTTTGTCTACACATGCTGGAGAGGCAGGAGGTTGGCAGAGGGCATCACCAGACCGCAGACAGAGGGAGCCAGAGAGAGAAGAGGGGCCCCAATGCTTCCCGTGGCAAGTTCTGCAGCACCGCTCAAACACTGACAGCTTCAGACAGGGACCTGAGGTGAACGGGGCCTCAGGTCAGCAGAACCAGGAAATTGCAATCCTTCACTCTAACTCCAGGTGAGGGTCCCTCAAAACTCTCGCCTGGGAGGGTGGGCAAAAGTGTGTGTGACCCTCCCAGCCCTGACTTCCCTTCCTCCCTCTCATCCCTTGTCCCTCCTTCCTCCACCAGCACCCATCTGCCCTGCCCTTCAAGGCTGCTTTGCTCTGAAGCAGCTCCTCTTCCTCTGGGGAAGATCAGAGGCTAGGCTGAGAGATGTCAAAGTGCTCACATGCACAGGGCCACAGGAAGTCAAGGGTGCAGCTGACATTCTTTTTGAAGCACTAGGGGAAGGGGAGGGGTGAGGTCTTTCCCTCACCCCCACCCCCTGGGAGGCAGAAGGTAAATCCTCAGAAGCAGGTCACTGCAGGCGGGGCCTTGTCCTAACCAGCGTTCATGTGGTGATCACCCCTTGCCCATCTCCCATCAACCAGGACCAATAACCAGAGTATCACAGCAGAAAACATCCTTAAAGTGGCTCATCCACAGCTGGGGAAACTGAGGCCCTGGGTGGGGAAGGAACCTGCCTGAGATGACATCACCAGCGAGCGGCAGAATGGGGACAGAGCTACCCACTTTCCTGGCTCCCACTCTTCCCTCTGTGCAGGCTGGGGCTTCCAGGGAGAGCCCTAAGTCTTCATACCTGTGCCCAGTCACCCTGTACCTCCCTGACCAGTGAGTGATCCTCACCCCCTCTGCTCTCACAGGTCCTGGCACAAGGCAGTCTATGCCAGCAGGTGCCAGGCAGATAAAGTGGCCTGGATGAGGGAGTTTGGCTTGGCAAGCAGCTGGGTTCAGCAGGTTCAGCCCTTTCCTGGTAATCAGCCTGTCTTTCAGCCCTGAGGAGCTGCCTGGAACACGGGCTCAGCTTGCCTGGGCCAGCTCATCCAGCACAGGATGAGGGAGGATCCAAGTGACCAGTGGGGGCTGAAGGGAGCTGGCCATGGGGCAGGAGGGAGGAGAGGGCTATCAGGGAGACCTGGGCCCCTCCTTGGGACTCTCATAGCACCTAAGCTCCCCTTATACAGCAGCTGCTTCCTCCAATGGGCCACGGGCCCTCAACAGCAGTGCTGGCACTCATTCATCTTTGTGTAGCCAGCACAGTATGAGGCAGGTAGAAAGGTGCCCCAGAGAACAATTACTGAGCCAGAGAGCTGCGGGGGTGGGGAGATCCCATCCAAAGCAGCTGGAGGGGGGCAGCCATCAAGAACACGGAACCTCATAACCCCGATTTCATCACCTATAATGACATGAGCAAAGGTCTCTCCTGATCTTGTGGCTTAGAAGCAGCTCATGGCAAGAGGCTCTTGAGAGCTACCTTCACGCAGCACATGCCACAGGCTGGGCAATCCACTTTCAGTCCTCCCTCAGGTCAACCCTGTAAGGTAGGTTCTATCACTGTCTCAAGGGTTAGAACAGATTTGAAAAGTTGCCCAAAGGTGTGCTGCTTGTAAGAGGGGCAGTGGAGACTCAAAGAGGAGTACGCCAAGTATGCCGTACTGCGGAGACTGTACTCTGACCCAGTCTCCATTCATGCAACAAATCTGTGAGCATTAACCATGTGTTGGGCACTGGATGTCGTGAACAAAACCTGCCCCAGTGACCCGAGAGCTTTCGTGCCAGTTAATGGAGGAGGCAGACAATTAAAGAAGCCAAACGCACAACCCAATCACACAGTGCCACGATGAGATAAACGCTATGAAGCAGAACAAAGGCAGGCAAGTGGGTAGGGCAGGGGTTGCCACACTTTTCCTGTGGAAGTCCAGATAGTAAATATTTGCTACTTGGCCGGCCAGCTTTGCAATGCTTCTTTGTTGTCATCACGCAACTCTGCCAGGGCAGCTGTGGACAATACGTCAATAAACAGGCAGGGCTATGTTCTAATAAAACTTCATTAATGGACACTCAACATAGGATTTTGTAATTTTTGTGTGGTAGAAAATATTATTATTTTTTTCTATTATTTATGAATATGAAAACCATGGCAGGGTACAGTGGCTCATGTCTGTAATCTTCGCACTTTGGGAAGCTGAGGCAGGTGGACCACTTGAGGTCAGGAGTTTGAGACCACCTTAGCCAACATGGTAAAACCCCCATCTCTGCTAAAAACACAAAAATTAGCCAGGCATGGCGGTGTCTGCCTGTAATCCAAGCTACTCGGGAGGCTGAGGCTGGAGAATCACTTGAGCCTGAGAAGTAGAGGTTGCAGTGAGCCAAGATCATGCCACTGCACTCCAACCTGGGTGACAGAGCAAGACTGAAAACAAAAACAAAAACAAAAAGCTTAGCTTGCAAGTCAGACACACATGTTGGCCCAGATTTGGCCACCATCACTTGCCAATTTCTGGGCTAGAGTGGCTGGGTGAGTATATGAGGATGCACTTTATAGACAGGACAGTCGAGGAAGGCCTTGCTGAGAAGGTGACATGTGACCAGAGACCTGAATGAGGTCAAGGAGAATGTCCTGAGCACCTCGCAAAAGGAACAGCACATGCCAGGGTCTGGCCATGTGAATGGAGAGGAGGGGGAGGTGGAGAAGCCAGCAAGGTTTCAGAGGTCAGCAAGAGCCAGGTCATGTGGGCCTCCTGCAAGGACCTTGGTCTCCACGTGACAGCAAGCTACTGAGGTCTGGCATTTGCTAGCTTCATGACCTTGGGCAAGTTATTCAACCTAAGCCTCATTTTCTCATTAAAAATGGAAAGAATAATGGTATCTGTCTCAGTGGGTATTGTAGGACGAAGTGAGTGTCGTGCACTAAATGAATGTCAGCCGCCAATGTTACCATCTACTCAGAGTCCAGCTGGATGAGACGGCGCAGGGACGAGTGGCCATGACTTTCGTCCAACTCACCCACAATGTCCACCACGTCCGGCCGGATGAGCGGCTCTCCACCCGTGAGCCGGATCTTGTCGACACCTTCCTTCACAAAGAGCCGGGCGAGGGTCAGGATTTCCTCTGTGGTCAGCAGGTTGGCCTTGGGGGTGAGCTGGACCCCCTCCTCGGGCATGCAGTACTGACCTGGATGAATGCGGATGTGGAGGGAGGAAACAGACATTGCCAGCAGCCCCGCAATAGTCCCACCTCCTCAACAGGCCAAAGTCTTTCCAAGCCCATCTGGACGTGAGTGGAGACCTCACTAAACCTGAGTTGGAAAAACCCCAGGCCAGCATCTCCCCAGGCCTTGCCTTTCTCATTTCTGAAAGGTCACCACCTTTCCCCATGCCCACCACACACAATCTGGACATAAAATCCCAGAGAGGAATGGGGCGGGGGGACAGGAGAGGGGGTAGGACAGGAGTGGAGGGGGTGGGGCAGGAGAGGAGGGGGCGGGGCAGGAGAGGAGGGGGTGGGGCAGGAGAGGAGGGGCAAGGAAGATGAACTTTGGAAGTCCCTCCAGCACTCCTTGGAGGGATTATGAAATGAGGCCTCTTTGTATCAGCCTGGCCCCAGCTGATCTGTCATGGGCCTGGAGCATCTCCAGGGTCAGCACTGACTAATTCACATGTTTATAATGTCCACCACCCCATCCCTGGCCATGTACTAGACTTTGGAAACTACAGGGAAATGGAGGAAAGAGCCCTGAAGAGTGAGAGGCCCAGGACCCAATCTTAATTTTAAATCCAACTACATTTGTTTTCAAATCTAATCCCAAGGAGGACACAGCTTCCACAATCATACAACTCAGCCTTGACCCCTATCTTGCCCCTAAAGCCCACCTGGCCTGGAGCATGGGGTAGTGGGTGAGGAAGTTAGAAAGCAGAACTGGAGGATTTAGGAGGATTTCTGGGCACAGGGAAATTTCAGAGGCTGCTTCAGCAGAGGGACATCAGCCCAGAGAGGGCCCAGGAAGGTGACTCACATCTGAGGTTGCACTTCTCCGTGAGGGAGATCCGAAGGTAGCTGTGCTGCCGGCCGAAGCTGTCTGTGAGGATGGCGGAGAAGGGGGCTGCATGCCCTCGCAGGAACTGCCTCCGCCTGGACAGCTCCTGCAAGGACAGGGCAGGGAGGAAGGACCGGCCCCTGCTGGCAGGCTGGGGAGAGGTGCAAGGAGAACCACCTGCCCCCTCCATTACTCTGACATCTATGCAGCACTTCTAACCCTTCCACATGTTTGGGCTCTGCAGTGTTGGGGAAGCTGGGATTGTCCCTCTCATGGAGAAATGAGAATGACGGAAAAGACCCATCTATTAAGTACTCAGCTGGGGGCGGGGTGCGATCTCTGCTGGGAGAATTTCTGGCTGGGCAGCAAGGTGGAGGCAAGGGTGTGGGGGAACCTATTAGTCCTTATTCTTCACTCTAGCCAGTGCCAGAAAAAAAGGATGGTGTACCCATGGTCTCGGGCATAAATGAGAGGAAACTGCTAAGGCTGCAAGCAAGGTCCAAACCCATGCAGAGAGAAAGGAGGGAACCAGCTTCACCCTTTCCCATGTCCAAGTCTGGTCCGTCTCCCCCTGTTGTGTCGGTCTTTTGGAGAGTTCAACCTGGATCCTGACAGACGCTGATGAGATAATTGCTCGAGGAAGTAACATCTACCAAACATCTTAAAGTTTCCAAAGAATGTTCTGTTCCATTCCCACACCCACTCTACAAGGGATTATTATAACTAAGGCTTGGAAGGGGTCCAATACCACCCTTGGCAGAACCAGGATTCAAATCCAGGTTTTCTGATTCCAGGTTCTAAAACCTTCCCTTCTATTACACAGAGACAGTCCAAGAAGACAGGGAAGATGACAATGAGAAGACAGGGAATTTGACAATGAGAAGACAGGGAAGATGACAATGACGGTGGGTAGAAGTTACTTCTCTAGAACGTTTTGGGCAAAAAAATCATGACCCTGGCAGTCATGCACGAGATCCACAGAGAAGGCTCAGGAATGGGGGAACCAGAACCCCTGGTTTCTGGGACAGGGATGGCCTGGCACACTGGGACGGTCCCTTAATTTCTCCAGGCCTGTTTTTCCAGTTGTAAAATAAGAATACAGCTATAGGCTAAGGTTTTCTTGCTAGGAGCAAAGACAGGGGCTGGGTGGTGGTGATGGTATCAGACGGTGGGAAGTGAACACCTAAAATTATGATGAAGAGCAGAAGGCCTCAGGCCCTCCAGAGGTCAACTATGCCTACGTTAGGAGGAAGAAGCACTTGCTTCAGTAAGTTTCTCAGCGCCAGCTGCACATTAGAACCATCTGGAGAACTTTGAAAAAAGATTCCACTGGAGACCAACTAAATCTGGATCACTGAAGCTGTTATGTTTTCAATCACTCCAGGTAATTGTCATCGGCAGCCCTTGACTGGGTCAAGAGCTACCAAGTTGTTCAAAGATAAGAGATATGAGTGTGTGAGGTTGCTCTGATTTTCTGGGCCCATAAACCATTCCTCATTCTACCCACTCCAAGAGAATTTCCCACCTCCTCTGAGAAACTCTGCTCAACGTCCTGTGGGGAGTAACCAGCAGTCCCTTCTCTAACTGCAGTCTGCTAGAATCACACTAGTCACTTCCTCCCTCCCTGTGGTGTGATGGAGAAAACTCAAACTCACCCCACTGCCTTTCCACAGACAGCCTCAGGGGTGGGGTGGCATGGGGGGCACTCCATAATCAAGAATCCCATCAGCCACCAGAGTCCAGATGAGATACTTGGGAATCTGGGTGTATTACAGTGCTGCGCCTTCTTTTTCATCAATAGCTATTTGCAATTCAGTTATGTTAGTCACCTCTTCACTTGTCAAGATACCCCCCTTCAACGTAGTCTTAACATGTTGTGGGGATGCGGTGGCCGGGTTGGGGAGGAGTCAAAATGCATCAAGGAACTGGGAGGTGAGAGGACCAAGCAGAAACACAGAAGCAAGCACCATGATGGAGCAATCTGGAACGGAATTAGGGGCTGGGTGCTGGTGGTTCACGCCTATTATCTCAGCACTTTGGGAGGCTAGGGTGGGCAGAGCTCTCGAGGCCAGGAGTTTGATACCAGCCTGAGCAACATGGTGAAACCCTATCTCTACCAAAAAATACAAAAATTAGGCGTGGTGGCATGTGTCTGTAATCCCAGCTACTGGGGAGATTGGGGCAAGAGAATCATCTGAACCCGGAAGGCAGATGTGGCAGTAAACTGAGATTGCACCATTGCACTCCAGCCTGGGTGACTGGGCAAGACTCTGTCTCAAAAAAAAAAAAAAAAAAAAAAAAAAAATGGAATTTTGTTCAGCTGATCAGATTTCACTTCTGAGAACTTTTGTGACCTTATCTAGACTTATGCAGACTGCACCACTGGTTCTGAACCCAGCCTCCTCAACACACACTCACACCCCGCTGGCCATGCAAACTCGTCACTTAGATATTAACAAGCCTCATCCCTGCATCTTTTCTCTCCTCTAACACTGCATGCCCTACTTTCATTCTTCTACCTTTTTCCTTGTCCCTAAATCTCCTGGAGAAAAAAAATATAATAATCAGCACCAGTCAAAGGAGCTAGAGAGAATTATAGGACACAGCAGACAGCAACTCTGCTTGCTCAGAAAGGGCTGGACATGTCAGAGGTAGCAGGAGGCCTTAAATGGACCATATTCCTAGGGTCTCAGCCTGGTCCAGGCTATTTCTTCCCCATGAGAAGTCATCCTGCCTGGTTCAGTATCCCCGGTGTCTAGCACAGGATGCTGGTAAGTTTTGAATCACATGAAAATCCTGTCCCTAATATAAATAGAAAGGTTGTATATGCAAAACTCAGTTACACGGGGGTAATAATTTCCAGGCTGGTCTCTACTGTCAAGATGGTTTAAACTGGTACAGTGGTGGTTCAAAACCCTGGCAGCACATCAAAATCACTCAAGGAGCTTCAAGAAGGACTGATGACAGAGCCCGTCCCAAAGATTCTAGCTCAACCCAGTGCCTCAGCTGTGCAGCCAGGACTGAGAACCATTGGCTTAATGACACCAAGTGCCAGGTGCCATCTGAATCCAGGGCTTGTTGTTGTGGTACTGAGCACAGGATTTGGAGTAGGTGAGCCTGTACCACAAGTCTGGCTCTAGCTGTTGAGAAAGTCACCTAAGTTCTCTAAACCTGAGTTTCCTCATTTATGCAGTAGAAATAATAATCCAACCTAACTCTATTGGAGGAGTTCCTGGCACATGGGAGGTTTTCAATCAGTGATCCATCGAACACTACTGTGTGCTGTGGTCAGTTTTTCTAGTTTGTCAGATTCCCTTCCCTTCCAAGACCCTGGCCTTCCAACCCTACTAACAGCAGATGGCCAGAGGCAGGGTTTCAAAGCTGCTGCCACACCACCCAAGGAAATGGGGTCTGAGCATCCCCAAGGACCACCAATATTAGTTCCAATAAGCAAGCACTAGGCAGCCTGCCAGATGCTGCTGGTCATCTCATGTCTACCCAGTGCAGACTGGGGTGAAGGGAGTGGGGAAGGTGGGGACCCTGTGCTCAAGGTGCCTTCCTCTACTAGTCACTAATCTTGAACATCTGATTTGACTGCTAAAGGCTAGCCCTCAAATAGCTCTGAAGTCGAAACAGAGCAGCAGGATTATTCAGAAGAAAAAAGGCACATTCCAAATTCAAATATCAGTGGCCCTGATTTATCCTGCTATTAGGATGATGTATACTAGGGGTCTCTTAAAATTAGTCTCTTTTCAGTGAGAGGACCCAGCAAAGAGCCTAACCTGATTTTCCTTCCCCTTATTTCCACCCGAAGTGTGAGGTCTCTATACCTATGGCTTCTGGCAAGGGCAGTCACGTTTCACCGAAACATGGATTTTGAGGAGCTGGGCAGATTGGAAGTGAAGATGACCCCCTGAAAAGTCCTCTTTCCCTCCTTCCTCTCACTCCCCCTCACCAGGCCCTGCTGTACTTCCACCTTCACCCACACCCAGTTCCTTGAGCCTAACCTCCTAGCCAGCATTTGTTTTCTCTGGCCCCCTGAACAGCTGGGTGTCTTTGCCTTGCCCAGAGTCACCCTCCCTGCTTCCCGCCACCACAGGCAGCAGCACACTGTTGTCACCCAACAAAGCCTGGATGGAGCCTCAGAGCGAGGAAGAGGGGTGCAGTGCTCCCAGGCTGGGCTGATCCCTGCAAACATTGTCTGGGCCACCCCAGACGCAGGCTGGTAGGTTGCTGTGTCTCCTCCACCCACCTCCCCATTGACCCATCCACCACCCCTTTCCACAGATAGAAGCTACCTGACTTGTTCTGAACTCAGCTCACGGCCCCCCTTTCCACAGTCCTCACAGCCAGCTCCCACTCACACCTCACTTCTCTCCCTCACACCCTCACCCTGTCACACAATGCCCAGTGGCTCTCCATCCTAGCTCTCCAAGAACCTCCCATCCCAAAGCAGACTACCAGCTGCAAGAAGGGATGGGAGGCCAGGGGTTCAAGATGGCCCCACCCCAACTGGCAAGCTCTGCAGATGGGCTGAACATATCTCCAGACTCACCTCCCCTTAGAGTCTCTACAAGACACATTTCTGTGCCCTCTCCCATCTTATGATGGGCAGGCCTACCCTCTCATTTTATAAACACCAAGCAAAGGGAAGTGACAGCCCCAGGAGCCAGGTGAAATTGGAGGTGAAGTTGGTATGTGAAAACATGGTACTCCCTGTCCAGTTTAGTCTACCATGCCGTGTGACTTCTCACTAGTTGAGGCTCAAGCAGCTACAATTATTGGCTGAATCCACTGCCTGCACAACACTGTGTTAAGCGCTGTGGGGAAATATCTAGAAAGGCGGAGGTGCACCCAGCCCTTGGGAACTCCTGGTCTGCTGAAGATCACCCTAATGAGATGTCCAGGATTCAATGTGAGTTGACAGAATAGCTATCCAGCAAGTCCAGATGGGAGGGGACTCACAGGACACAGCATGTGCCAGTAGCAGCATGGATAATAGTAATTACCACAAATGTTTACATAACGCAGCACCTACATGGACTAAGCTTTGTTCCAAGAATATAGGTTAACATATGTTAACTCTTTTAATCCCCGTGACACCCTATGAAGTAGACGCTATTCCCACGTCGTGCATGAGAAAACAGGCACTGAGAGGTAAGGGGACTTGCTGAATCCCCTAATAAAGGATGGGGCTGCCCCAGAGTCTATGCTCTCCCTTCTGCCTCATTACCCCTCCCTTCACAGTGTAAACTGAAGGGATGGATAGGAGCAGGCTCTCTCCCTGGCCTCCACACAGAAAGGATAAAAGCGTGCAGGCTTTAGGGTTGAGTTCCCACCCTCTGCTTTACAGCTCTGTGACTGGAGGAAAGTTAACTTCCATTAGTTCCCTCACCTGAAGGTACAAACTCTATTGACTTCGCACGGCTTAGTGAGAACTAAATGCTTCCACATGTGAGTCACTCAGCACACAGGTTCTCTCATCAAAGACCAGTACCAAATAAAACGGAGGGCCGGGAGGGAGGCAGTTCAGAAAATTTCCTTTTTCTTGAATTCTTTAAAGATCTCTCAGCCATCTTTGCTTTCCCATCTTTTCTTCAATGAAGTTCCAAGTTGGAGGATACTAAAAAAATCTTTACTTCCCAACCACAAGCCTGCTTACCTGAGGATCCCAGAGGGGGTTAGATTTGGGGAAAGCAAATTTGGCGGAAGTCATTGAGCAACATGGGGGAGGAGGGAGCAGTGATTTTACAAATCCCAGGACAGGAAGTCAGTTTTTCCCCCATCTCCCAGGACAGAAAGCCTAATTCTGGGAGACGGGGAAAAAACTGACTAGATAGGTACAGAAAAGAGGTTTCACTAAATGAAAAGAGGCGCTGCCCCCCTCAAATTATTCCCTAACCACCTGAGCAGAACAACAACAAAAACCTAAAACTTGTTATGACTTGAAATACTCTGAGGGGTGCTATCAAGGACTGAGGGATCCTGCCCCAAACCCTAAAGACATACAGGAATTAATTTCTAACCTGGAACAGGCCACATCCTGCTCTGTTCTGCTCTAGGATAAGGCTGAACCCTCCCCAAGGTTAATAAAAATGAGACAAGGAGAGTCAGCAAAGGATGGGTTACTGAGCCATGGGACTACAGCGACATCTCACCGTTGGTGGCACCGAGGTGACATGTTTAGTCAGTCACATTAGAAAGCAGGTGTCACAGGGACACCTGATCTCTCTCAGGTCAGGGGATAGGGAGGGAAAACGTTTAAGAAAGAGGATGGGTGCAAGGCAGGGCTGAAGGGTACTAATAAGACATCTCACTGGCCCCAAAGTCCCAGTCCTCTGCTTACCCCAAATTCTGGCCAAGCTCAGAGCTGGAAGGGGGGTGGCGTGGCTAGGGGACAGGGAGGTTCTGAAGCGGGACTCCCAAGAGCCTCTCCCACTGGGCTAGCAGGCGAGACCGAGCGGTCCATCTGGAGAACATAGCTCCACTGAGGAATGCGAAGGGGTACCCCCCCCAGAAGCCGTCACGCAGATGGGCTGGGAGCTATGGGGGGTAAAAGGCAGCGTGTCCGGGCCACCCCCGCCTCGGGAAGCTGTGGGCGCTGGCGGGGTGGGCTCACCTCCGAGGCAGCTTGCGCGGACTCCCTGGGGCGGGGCTGCGTCACCGGAGCCCCTGAGCTGCAGCTCCGGGCGCTGGATCCCAGGAGCCGCCGCAGCATCCGGGACAGCGGCCGCGCCGCCATGAAGCCTGATCCCTGCACAGCTGCGGCGGGCTTCTGGAGCACAAGGGCCGGGCACTCACCGCCCGGGTCATCCCGGCAGGGTCAGGGCGGGGAGGGCGGGCAGAAGGCGGGGTCCGCGCAGCCAATAGGCGGGGACGCCATCTCGCGCGGCCTTCTGGGAACTGTAGTCCGCTCCCTGTGCCTACTTTCCCGGGCGGGGTTAGCGCTCTAGGGCAGAAAGGTAAATAAACTCAGGTGGGGAGCAGGATTCTTTTCCTTCCAGTTTTTCTGGCTGCTGTGGTCTCAGTTTTAAGTCGTGGTGTGAGAGTAGGCAGGGCAGGACTAGGGCCAAGAGAATGAGGCACTGCCTTGAGCACAAAATTTAAGAGGATGCCAGAAAAACTCCGGTTATCAAGGTAAGCAATTTTTTAATATAATATTTCAAAAATCGTAATAAATTTAAAAGTCCATGAAATATCAACATTCTAAATAGAAAGATCGATCCTACAACTTGCCCGACTCACCTCACTCAGTGTACCATAGTGCAAACTCTGGTTTTACAACAGTCAGGTATTTCAAGATACACTTCTCCAATTGTGTCCCAAAAGGATAGTAACCATCTTGCCCTCTCCATGAAAAAAAAAAAAAAAAAAAAAAAAAAAAAAAAAAAAAAAAAAAAAAAAAAGAAAGAAAACGTATATGAGAAGTCACAGAATGAGTGCATAATGAAATGAAATGCTTCTTATACACCAAGCACCATGCTATATGTTATTTAAAACGATCCTGGAATGAATAGAATGTCCATTTTGCAACTGAGAATATTGAGGCTTAGAGAGACTGGGTAATTTTCTCGAAGTCACACAGCTGATAATGGGCTTCAAACCCAGGGCAATCTACCTTCTACAGTCAGACAGTCAAGGTTCAGTATGTGTTGGGAATGGTGAGGTGTGTCTCTTCCTCTCTCTAAATATAAAGCAGAGTTCTGTAGCCTATAAGATTTTGGATAACACATACAATAACAAACTTATGTGCTAAGAATCATTATGCTCAAACCAGCCTATCTGCTGTATCCAAAACCCTATCGCTGTGGAATTGCAAGAATAAAATACCGACTGGAAGATACAGCTCCCAAGTGTGTGCTTCGGAAGTGGAGATACAGCTCCTGATCTTGAAGAATTGACCCAATAGTAGGGGAGGGAAGAATAACCGAATATAACTGACTTTTACAAATGCAGTGAGATTATCATAAAAGCTGAGACAATTTTAGCCTTAGAATCAACATGAGTTTCTCACAATGATACTCACAATTCAGAAAATACATTGTGTGAAATAAAAGTGTATCTGGGGTATGTTTGAAACTGATGTGACAAGTATGCCAGAAGTCTGATTGCAAGACCAACTGAGGACTGTTCAATCTCTGTCCACTGCTAAGTTTAGATTATGTCCAGATTTATCAGGGAAACTGGGTTTGGGGGCAAGGAGGATAAAAACTTTTATTTTTGGTAGGTATGAGGTTGAAGAGCCTTCTAGAGAGGACTCAACCGCAGGGAAGAAGCCAATCTGACATATGAACTAGATCCGAAAATGTCACCAGTTCCATAGAGCCTCTCTAGATTCCATGCTCTTCATACAAATTATATGTGATCATCCCTTCACTTGGGCTTTACTGTCATCTTATAGAACTTAGGTCTCCAAGGCAAGACCTAAGGCTTACTCAGTTCTGTTTGATGGCTGAAATCCTCTCCATGTTATCACACATCTACTTGGACTCCTCTAGTGCTGGGAAACTTTGTGGCTTCCTGATGTTTGTCTGCTCCACTTAAATGTCTCCCAGCCTATTAAAATTCTTACTCGTATTCAGCAAAACAAAAGTGCCCCTTTCTGTCAACATGTGGTGATTAAGTGTCATCAGAGCCAAGTCCTCTGCTAATGGCTGAGAATAAGGAAACATTTTCAAGGACTCACAGCCTGCAGTAGGACCCTGATGCGTCAAATCCATGGATTGATTTGGAGGGATCTGCAGACCCCTGAACTTGAATGCATGAATGTATGTTTACTTTTTTTTTCCTAGGGAAAGGTGGCTTTTTATCACATGCTCAAAGAGGCTCATGACCAAGAATGGAACATACGGTCCTAGAATATCTCTTTTGTGATACCCCCCATTGACTCTAATTTTAGCCCCCTGGGCATATACACCCCCTCTTTGAGACTTCAACCCAAGTACTCTCTTCATGATAAACAGCAGCAGTTATTGCCAACCCTTGTATACCACGTCATGGGAGCCACTGCACCATATTCTTTAATACAATTTGGTTTGTCTAGGTCCTGGTGGCAGACCGCATTTCTAAGACAGCTGCAACAACATTTCCTGTCTAGAGCTGTGCTGTCCAATAGAAACTTCTGCAATGATGGGGATATTCTATGTCCTCACATAGCTATTGAACACATGAAATGTGGCTAGTGTGACGGAGAATTGGATTTTTACTTTTATTACATTGTCATTAATTGAAGTGTAAACAGGCATGTGTGGCTACTTCATTATTCAGCACTACAATAGAACTTTGCTTTCTCGAGAAGTGGTGGAATTAACTTTCCTCCCTTTGCATCTGGGTCAGTTTGTAACTTGTTTGTAACCAATAGTGTGAGAGTGATGCTGTGTGGCTTATGAGGCTAGGTTAGATCAATATGATGCAATTTCCACCTTACAATTTTACCTCTAGTGATCTGGTCTCCAGCTGACAGGAAGATAAGTTTCTCTTTAATCCCCATCCATTCTCTCCTCACTTGACTTTCATCTCCCAACTCCTCCCCTCCGCACCCCAAAAAAAGATTCAGGATGTGATTTCCAGCTGTATGTCCATTGTCTCTTCTAATAAGAGCCTCAAGTGTCCAGTCATCTGAATAGTCATTCGAACCTGTCCTCTATTCTATCAGTAACTGTGGACGCTCCTTGCAATTTTAAGCATTTTAATTAAGCAATAAAAGTTTCAAAAAGTATTGTATCGACTATTCCTATCATTTCTCTTTTGACAACCTTGTGCAGCATAGTTTTTGCCTCTCCAGATCCTTCTGTAACCTGCTCTGAGGACCAGGAGGTTGACTTCTACCAACTACATTGACGGCACCACTCAGGTGCCCTGACCTCTGGTTTCAAGGAGGATCTTGCCAATAGGGAGCATGGCAGGAGATCAGAGAGCAGGAGGAGAGAGAAGTTGGAGTATCTACTCTTCCCGATCCCTCCCTGTTTTGCTCTGGCTACAGCTGTAGTTGGTGTCATCTGGCCCCTCTGCAATGAATGATTCCACCTCCCACCGAGTCGAGTTAAACACCGTATCTAACACTTGTTTCTTCACTTCAAACTGGGGTGGAATTGGCTATCTCCTGTTGATCATTGCTGGATGCCTCAACATTCCTGTTGCCCCCCTTAACCTTAGCCCACACCTCCAAAATGGTCCCTTCAAAAATTTTAGCTGAGTATGCCATCTGTTTCTGGCTGTTTCCCTGACTGATACAGGATTCATGGACAAGCTACAGGCTGGTAACCAGTCTGAGGCCTGGGGGTTGGGGACCTCTGCTTTAGAGTATAGAGAGTTCCTGAGACAAACAGTTTGAGAATTGCTACCTTAATACACACTCTTTCATCCTCTAGAGACCTAGAGACATCCTAATATTCTTTTAACTGCTGTGTCCACATCATTGTCCCCAAACCATTGAGAATAATATAGAATAAGCTCTTACCTAGCCCCCATTTCCCTGAGCTCTTGGAGTTGGCTCTATGTTTTCCTATGGAGTTGGTAAGACTGGTTTGCAGATCCTCATCCTGAAGTTCACCAGGAGCCCTATACTGGGAATCAGCTTCATATTTCACATCCAACTTCTGCCGTAGGGTCACTATCTACCGGTTTAGCCTCCTTATTAGGTAAAGATTAAAACTGGTCTGGCCAGGTGCGGTGGCTCACGCCTGTAATCCCAACACTTTGGAAGGCCGAGGCAGGCAGATCACGAGATCAGGAGATCAAGACCATCCTGGCTAACATGGTGAAACCATGTCTCTACCAAAAATACAAAAAACTAGCCAGGCATGGTGGTGTGCACCTATAGTCTCAGCTATCTGGGAGGCTGAAGCAGGAGAATCACTTGAAACCCAGGAGGCAGAGGTTGCAGTGAGCCAAGACTGCGTCACTGTACTCCAGCCTAGACAACAGAGCGAGACTGTCCCAAAAACAAAACAAAGCAAAAAAACCTGATCTTCAGCTTTGTTGTGACACTTGAGTCATGTAATGCTTAAGCAAGTGCTCTGTTGTTTTGATGATATTGTTTGGGGGCAAGGAGGGCCCTACTCGTGTTACAGAAACCATCCTTTCTCACGTGAAAGAGATTAAGTAGATTAGTTCATTTGGATGCACTGAGCCTACAGGAAAGCTCTTATTAGAATAAGGGATAGTGGGCTCATTATAAACCACGTATATAACTCAGCTCAAAATAGTTTAACTGTTTTCCAAGAGTTAGGTAGCCAAGAGCAGTAACGGCAAGTACGGTAGGTATAAGTTAGGAAAACATAAGGCATAGGGATTGCCAAGAAGGATGGACCTCAACTTTCAGGGAGTCCTGAGACCCTTAGTGTGTGGGAGAAGAGGAGGGGCTCAGAGGACACTGAGAACTTTCTTCTGAGATATTCCCAGGTCTTTTGTAGGTCAGACCTTCATCCCTGTTATGAAATCACCCCAAACTGTTTTCTCCTACTGATCTTCTCAGTGTATGGTGGTTTTAAACAGGTCCATAAATTCTTAAATATTCCTCACTTTAAAAGGTGGAGCCTGGTTTCCGTCCCCTTAAATGTGGCTGAAGTTAGGAACTCTAGCTAATCAAATGTGGCAGAATTGATGGTGTTAGGCTTCTGAGGGTAGCCAGGGAAAGACCATGTGGCTTTCTCTTTGCTCCCTCTGGGAGAAGCCAGTGGCCATGTTGTGAGCAGTTCTCTGGAGATGCCCACATGATGATGACTGATCCCTCCTGCCAAGAGCCAGTTAGGAAGGAAGGCCTCCAGCCAATAGCCATGTATGTAACCATTCTGGAGAAGACTCCTTCAGCCCCAGTCACAGCTTCAAGTACCTGCAGCTCCTGCTAAGATCTTCACTGCAGTCTTACGAGATATCCTG